GCTGTGCACACATCCAAAATTCCCTACAGGAAAGCATTGAATTCAATTGTTACTTAGTCAGTGCCACGGAAGTGCCTCTGGTGTCTGTCAATATGACAGCCATATGAGGAGGATTAATTATGTAACGTAAAACATTGCAGTTTCTCCAAGACCTCAATGTGTTACTTTGTAGGGTTACAAGGACAGGACCACTGCACCCAAACCCCTTCATTAATTGTGTAAAAGCACCTAAAGGACTATAAAAGGCTGCTTTGTACCAATTTACTAACAATGAATCTCATGTGTTAAACAAATGGTTTTTTTTTTCAAGTTTAAAGTTAATAAATGATAATCCTTTGGATAATAAAAAAAAGCATCAATAAACTACAAGTATAATATTCATGTTATGGTCTCTACAGCCTGTGGGTATAATTTCTATGTCTGTTTACTATGTTCATTGTGTAATAATGAGATTTGAAAAGGAGGACGATTTGCTACAGATTCAGAAATTGAGGCAACGTTTCATAATGGAATCCTTCGTGATACAGTCATCTCTTATTTTCTCTTAAACGTTTTAATTAACGTAAGAAAGCTGGGATGAGAGAAGAACCTGATTGTTCTCATCCCACAATCTGCAGGATATCAATACACAATTAAACTGCATTGTCTCACTTAATGAGGAGATAGGAGCTTTGTGTAATAGCTCTGGATTGTTAAAGAGCAGCGAGACACCATAATAATGGAACAGGGACACCCAGCATTCCATCAGCATGATTAAATATGATTATCGTAAACCCCATTGGTATTGAAAGATTATCACACACTTTAATGGTGGTGACACTATATAAACAACTTCACCAGATGTTTAGGGCCCCTATGCTTCAGTGGGACCCCGCACAGCAGCCAGTGCAGTGAAATATTACCATACCCAGCTAGGCCTCTTGACTGGGCTCTTTTATAACATCTCACAGAGAGCTGGCCATGGGGGCCACACAGCATGTATGCCATCTCTTCCAGACCTGGTCAGTAACAGCACCACCACAAAGACTTATCCATGGATACACGTGTGACAGCCACTAGGTGTCAGGGGTGAGCCATCTCTAACAATAGACGATCATCAAAAACTCTCAACAAGGTATTCACAAAAGTATGAAATGTCAAGAATTTAAAATTTTAGACCAAGATAGCCAAAAGAAAACAACGGATTAGAAATTATTTTCCAATTTGGCTATTTGGGTGTAAAATGTGAAATTCACTTTGAATTACTGACAAATCATACTTAAGTGAATAGCCCTGTCAGTGAATTGCGGTAAAGAGAGAACATAGGGTTCAAATTGCAAACTACAGAACAAAGATTCCTATTTAGGTTACATTTCACTGCTTAGTGAATACGTCCCATTGCTAGCAAGTATATATAGTACTGAGTATTGCAGTATGCAATGATACCTTTATTATTGGACTAACATAATATTTCAGAGACAAGCCTTTGAGAGTTTCCTCTCTTCCTCAGGTCTGAAGCAGTACTGATCAATCTGATAGAGGAGAACACTTAAAACAACTGATGTTAGAGAAGTGGACGGAGGGGGTGAGTGGGGTGTCATAAATAGCAGAAGATGTGCCTGAAAGCGAAAGGTGCAGGTTGGCTGAGGATAGCCAGAAAAAGTAAATAAACAGAGGAGAGTCAATAAGATAGTTTAAAAAACAAAACAAAAAACAAGCAAACAGCAGAGCAGGGCATGCAAGTATATAGCTTCATATATGTATGGATATAAATTGATCCAATAAAGGTCAAACAAGAATATTGAAAAATAACTAAATAAGACATTAAGATGTGTGTTTATATAAATCTTTAATATAGTGGTCTACATTAAAGGACCACTATAGTGCCAGGAAAACATACTCGTTTTCCTGGCACTATAGTGCCCTGAGGGTGCCCCCACCCTCAGGGTCCCCCTCCCGCCCGGCTCTGGAAGGGGGAAAGGGGTAAAAACTTACCTTTTTCCAGCGCTGGGCGGAGAGCTCTCCTCCTTCTCTCCTCCTCTGTTCCGCCCTGTCGGCTGAATGCGCACGCGCGGCAAGAGCTGCGCGCGCATTCAGCCAGTCGCATAGGAAAGCATTTACAATGCTTTCCTATGGACGCTTGCATGCTCTCACTGTGAAAATCACAGTGAGAAGCACGCAAGCGCCTCTAGCGGCTGTCAATGAGATAGACACTAGAGGATTTGGGGGAAGGCTTAACCCATTAATAAACATAGCAGTTTCTCTGAAACTGCTATGTTTATAAAAAAATGGGTTAACCCTAGAAGGACCTTGCACCCAGACCACTTCATTAAGCTGAAGTGGTCTGGGTGCCTAGAGTGGTCCTTTAAGTCCTTCATTTCTGGAGTTGAAATGTGTGATCATTTTCATCTCAAATGTCTTTTGTTCAAGAGTGTCTTTGAAATTCTCTTTAAGAACTTTAATCCTGAGGTTTCGGATGGACTGAGCAGTCTGGGTCCAACAGGGGTACAATATCCGTATTTCTTGTGGATCTTGAGTGTCTGTGTAGATCCAATCTGAGATGCAGCTTAAAGGAGCACTATAGTCACCTAAAAAACTTTAGCTTAATGAAGCAGTTTTAGTGTATAGAGCAGGCTTCCCCAAACTCTGGCCTCCAGATGTTGCTGAACTGCAACACCCTTGATTCTCAGCCTATTTTATTCATAGAATCATGGGAGTTGTAGTTTAGCAACATCTGGAGGGCCAGTGTTTGGGAAAGCCTGGTATAGATCATGCCTCTCAGGTTTCACTGCTCAATTCACTTCCATTTAGGAGTTAAATCATTTGGTTTCTGTTTATGAAGCCCTAGCCACACCTCCCCTGGCTATGACTGACACAACCTGCATGAAAAAAAAACTGGTTTCACTTTCAATCATATGTAATTTACCTTAAACAATTTTATCTCTTGCTCTGTAAATTGAACTTTAATCACATACAGGAGACTCTTGCAGGGTCTTGCAAGCTATTAATATAGCAGGGGATAAGTAAATCTAAATTAAATAGAACTTGCAATAAAGGAAGGATAAACATTAGATGACTCTTTACAGGAAGTGTTTAAGAAGGCTGTGCAAGTCACATGCAGGGAGGTGTGACTAGAGTTAATAAATAAAGTGATTTAACGCTTAAATGGCAGATAATTTAAACATTGAGATTGCATAGTAATGCTCTATATTCCAAAACTGTTTCATTAAGCTAACATGGTTCTGGTGACTACAGTTTCTCCAATGTAGCAACCTTTGTCACACACTGTACACTGTATCATGTATTATTATGTATGGAGGCTGAGCATGCTGGGAGTGTCAGTGTATGAAGGCTGAGCATGCTGGGAGTGGCAGTGTATGGAGGCTGAGCATGCTGGGAGTGGCAGTGTATGGAGGCTGAACATGCTGAGAGTGGAAGTGTATGAAGGCTGAGCATGCTGGGAGTGTCAGTGTATGAAGGCTGAGCATGCTGGGAGTGTCAGTGTATGGAGGCAGAGCATGCTGGGAGTGGCAGTGTATGGAGCCTGAGCATGCTGGGAGTGGCAGTGTATGAAGGCTGAGCATGCTAGGAGTGGCAGTGTATGAAGGCTGAACATGCTGAGAGTGGCAGTGTATGAAGGCTGAGCATGCTGGGAGTGTCAGTGTATGAAGGCTGAGCATGTTGGGAGTGGCAGCCTCTATATAGGAATGCTGAGCTTGCTGGGAGTGGCAGTCTCTGTATAGAAAGGCTGAGCATGCTGAGAGTGGCAGTGTATGGAGGCTGAGCATCCTGGGAGTGTCAGTCTCTGTATAGGAAGGCTTAGCATGCTGGGAGTGGCAGTCTCTGTATAGGACGGCTGAGCATGCTGGGAGTGGCAGTGTATGGAGGCTGAGCATGCTGGGAGTGTCAGTCTCTGTATAGGACGGCTGAGCATGCTGGGAGTGTCAGTCTCTGTATAGGAAGGCTGAGCATGCTGGGAGTGTCAGTGTATGAAGGCTGAGCATGCTGGGAGTGGCAGTGTATGGAGGCAGAGCATGCTGGGAGTGGCAGTGTGTGAAGGCTGAGCATGCTGGGAATGTCAGTGTATGAAGGCTGAGTATGCTGGGAGTGTCAGTGTATGGAGGCAGAGCATGCTGGGCATGGCAGTGTATGGAGGCTGAGCATGCTGGGCATGGCAGTGTATGGAGGCTGAGCATGCTGGGGGTGGCAGTGTATGAAGGCTGAGCATGCCGGGAGTGTCAGTCTCTGTATAGGAAGGCTGAGCATGCTGGGAGTGGCAGTGTGTGAAGGCTGAGCATGCTGGGAATGTCAGTGTATGGAGGCTGAGCATGCTGGGAGTGTCAGTGTATGGAGGCAGAGCATGCTGGGCATGGCAGTGTATGGAGGCTGAGCATGCTGGGCATGGCAGTGTATGGAGGCTGAGCATGCTGGGCGTGGCAGTGTATGGAGGCTGAGCATGCTGGGCGTGGCAGTGTATGGAGGCTGAGCATGCTGGGCGTGGCAGTGTATGGAGGCTGAGCATGCTGGGAGTGGCAGTGTATGGAGGCTGAGCATGCTGGGGGTGGCAGTGTATGGAGGCTGAGCATGCTGGGAGTGGCAGTGTGTGGAGGCTGAGCATGCTGGGGATGGCAGTGTATGGAGGCTGAGCATGCTGGGCGTGGCAGTGTATGGAGGCTGAGCATGCTGGGCGTGGCAGTGTATGGAGGCTGAGCATGCTGGGCGTGGCAGTGTATGGAGGCTGAGCATGCTGGGAGTGGCAGTGTATGGAGGCTGAGCATGCTGGGGGTGGCAGTGTATGGAGGCTGAGCATGCTGGGGGTGGCAGTGTATGGAGGCTGAGCATGCTGGGAGTGGCAGTGTATGGAGGCTGAGCATGCTGGGAGTGGCAGTGTATGGAGGCTGAGGATGCTGGGAGTGGCAGTCTCTGTATGGGAAGGCCGAGCTGCCCGTTGCCATGGTGATGACGTCATGCGGGAGATCTCGCGGTATCCGGCGCCATGTTGGGCTGAGCGGGAGGGGGCGGGGCTGTGATTGAGGCCCCGGGGGGCGGGACAGACAGCCAGCTCCGCCTCACACACCCCCGGGCCGCCCGGGGCCCCAGCTACACTGCACCCCGCGACATGAGGAGCCCCCCACTGCCCCCGGGGCCCCACCCCGCCCGCACCCCGCTCCTTTGAGGGCCCGGAGCCGCAGCCAGGCACCCCGAGAGCCGCCGGAGCCCCCCAGGACCGCGACAGGGGCCCCCAGGAGCCCCCCAGGACCGAGACCGGGGCCCCCAGGAGCCCCCCAGGACCGAGACCGGGGCCCCCAGGAGCCTTCCAGGACCGAGACCGGGGCCCCCAGGAGCCTTCCCCAATCTGGACCGACACCGGGGCCCCCAGGACCGATTCAGGGGCCCTCAAGAGCCTTCGTCTCGCCGGATCCTGTCAGAAGCCCCCAGTGTCCCTCACTCTGCAGCCGGTTATAAGGTGTGTGTGGGGACCCAGGGCCACATCGAGACTGGGTGACACTGAATGTCAGCACTGCACCCCCCCCTTAATGGTCAGCACTGCACCCCCCCAATAGTCAGCACTGCACCCCCCACCCCCTTAATGGTCAGCACTGCACCCCCCCAATAGTCAGCACTGCACCCCCCCCCTTGTGTCCTTGCTGCACCCCTGTGGTCAGCACTGCACCCCCCAATGTCCAGCACTGCACCCCATGTAGTCCAGCACTGCACCCCCCTCCCTAGTAGTCAGCCTGCACACCCCCCTTAATGGTCAGCACTGCACTATGTGAGTCAGCACTGCCTGTAGTCCAGCACTGCCCCGCCAATGGTCAGCACTGCACCCCCAATAGTCAGCACTGCACACCCCCCCCCCCCCTTAATGAGTCAGCACTGCACCCCAATAGTCAGCACTGCACCCCATAATAGTGCAGCACTGCACCCCCCTTAATAGTCCAGCACTGCCACCCCTAATGGTCCAGCACTGCACCCCCCTCCCTGAGTAGTCAGCACTGCACCCCCCACCCCAATAGTCCCTTCACCCCTACTGTCCTTTGCACCCCTGTGAGTCAGCACTGCACCCCAGCCAGTGGCACTGCCCCCCTTAATGGTCAGCCACTTTTGCACCCCCAGTAGTCCAGCACTGCAGCAATGGTCAGCACTGCCCCCTTAGTAGTCAGCACTGCCCTGTGGTCAGCACTGCACCCCTCCCTAGTGGTCAGCACTGCACCCCCCACCCCAATGGTCAGTACTGCCCCACTGTCAGCACTGCACCCCCCTACCCAATAGTCAGTACTGCACCCCCCACTAATGGTCAGTACTGCCCCATTGTCAGCTTACTGCACCCCCCACCCCGTAATTCAGTACTGCCCCCCACTGTCAGCACTGCACCCCCCATTAATAGTCAGTACTGCCCTCACTGTGCACTGCCCCACCAATGGTCAGTACTGCACCCCCCCACCAATGAGTCAGTACTGCACCCCCACCAATGAGACCAGTACTGCACCCCCATTAATGAGTAGTAGTGCCTCTCACTGTCAGCACTGCACCCCCCCCACCAATGAATTCAGTACTGCCCCACTGTCAGCACTGCACCCCCCCACCAATGGTCAGTACTGCCCTCACTGTCAGCAGTGCACCCCCCCACCAATGGTCAGTACTGCCCTCACTGTCAGCAGTGCACTCCCCCACTAATGATCAGTACTGTCCCCACTGTCAGCACCCCCACTAATGGTCAGTACTGCCTCCACGGTCAGCACTTCATCCCCCACTAATGGTCAGTACTGCCTCCACTGTCAGCACTGCACCCACCCACTAATGGTCAGTACCCCCCCACTAATGGTCAACATTGCCCCCACTGTCAGCACTGCACCCACCCACTAATGGTCAACATTGCCCCCACTGTCAGCACTGCACCCCACCACTAATGGTCAGTACTGTCCCCACTGTCAGCACTGCACCCCTCACTAATTGTCAGTACTGCTCCCACTGTTAGCACTGCACTCCCTACTAATAGTCAGTATTGCCCCGACTGTCAGAACTGCACCCCTTGTTGACTCTGAACCCCTAATAACTGTAAGCATTGTATGGCCTCTCAGCCTTACTTTCACTGTTCACAATGAACCCTAAATAATAGTTAACATTGCATCCCCTGTCAACATTAAACACCCACTGTCAACTTTGTATTCCATGTTACCACTAAACCCCCACTAACTGTCAGCATTGTATCCTCTATTGACATTATACCTTTGTCAGCACATTACCCCATATTAACTGTCAACATTGTACTCTTCTCAGCTCTGCTACCTCTGTCAGCTATGCACCCACTTACTAGCACTGTGTCCCCTGTCATTACCGTACCCCTTAACTGCATTCACTGTTTTCCTGTAGTCAGTACCCTTTACTGTCTGCACTGAGTCTCCTGTTAACAATGTACTCCTTGTCTTATCTATCACCACTGCACCTGTTTATGTTGGTACATCTATCTATTGACTACTAGAGTAACTCACTGCTTTATTACCAATAGTGCACAATATGTACATTGCTTTCATTTCTGATTATACCATACTGCCTGTCTATACCTGCTAATTAGTCAATGTAATTATATCTGTAATTATTATTTAGCCACTGCTCTCCTTTATTCATATACTCTGCCAGATTCCGTGCACCGCCAATGGGAATTCCGATTCCAATTCATGGCCTCAGACAGTAGGGGCACATCTTGTTTCCTTATTTTAACCCATTAGATTACGATATATCCGTATGTTTCTAGATTGTAAGATCACTCGAGAAGAGCTGCTTACTCTGCATTTCTTGTATCTCTGTTGTATAACTGTGAAGAGCTGCAGAATGTTTGAGCCATGTAAATGGTAATTATTAGTAACACCTTCTAAAACTCTCTATTTACTAATGCAACATTCAAATGTAATCACCTTGATACCTTCTTATGCAACATTTGGGCCTTTGCAGTCTTGCTTTTTAACTTCCATTTATTTATTTATTTTTTGCAATGTACATTAGTTAGACTGTAGATTTGCATTTTGCTTTGGAAAATATTTATAGCACAGGAATCTCAGAATACATTCCAAGCGAGTAGGGGCCAACCAGCTTCTGGATATTTCTCCCCTTTTCTAGGTGCTGTTAACAAAATAGCATCAGGGCACCTGTTCAAAAGCAGGGTTATTAGTTCTCTGATCCTTTTGTGAATCACTGTGTTGACTGCCTTTCCTGTTTACATGGGGTACATGTCATTGATATCATTATATGTTACAAGCCTTACTAGAGTCCATAGGATCTTTTCCCACAGCAGAATGCTTTGCATTGTGTCTGGGAGGTCACTGGCCCTCAAGGGGTTAAGTCTCCCTTTAGCTTCTGTTTTTATTTCTTGCCCTGCTTTTTGCATTTCAAACTGATAAAGCCATGACGTGATAATAGTGAATTATCTGTGTTTTTGAGGGTACAACAAAAAGACCCAAATCAAAACATATGTTACATAGCTTTAAAATGAGCATACACAAAAAGTCTGCCCAGGGCCATTACCATATGTATTGCTTGATTTTAATGAATAATTCTGTATATATTGCAAACTGCACTGCTTATTTAACCCATCAGTGCCCAGCTTGGAAGAGCTCTTATCTGCAACCTTTACAGCATGGCATATATTTATATGGATCAATTCTGGGTCAAAGTGCTAAACGTGGGGCCCCTCCTCATGGGAACAAATGGAATGTTCCATCAAATTTCATCATAGTTAGCACTTTTGCCTCTTTATTGTCCTTTTTAACATTTCACAAATATCCTACTTTTTGTCATGCAGGCATGGACTTTGACACATCGGTCTTTAAATCTTTGCATGTCTAGCGAGAGGTGGTGAGCCATGTTGCCACCAGCACTTTTGAGGTTAACACATACAGGGTTTGTTTGGCTGGCTGATAGCTGTTATGAAATTATCGAAATCATATGCTTCAACATCTGTATTTATAATGGAAATGTTCCCATGTTTGATGTAAACAACTCCTTGTATCTGAGTACACTGCAGTTTATTTTTGCTGTAGGGGGAAGCATGGTAGTAGTTGTTTTGTAGTGATCTTGTATGTCAGCATTCCCCATCATACACTATACTACAGTGACTTTTCAAGTAAATTATTCCAATTTTTTCCACGTATCATTTTTAGAAGACCATTTTACATGTTGTCGATTAAAGGAATTGCTGTTGTAATGATTTGTGCATTGAATGTGCTTGGTAATATTTACTGTACATATTGCAGTGTTATTTCAATCTTGTACTGTATGAGAGACATGTGATGTTTAAAATATGTGAATTCTGCACCTATTTCTTTATCTTTCGTTAAAAGTAACAATCTATGACAGAGTCCCTAGACTTTGCAGGGTCCAGGGTTTTTAAAATAACAAAAACCTGATTTGCCATATTTACTTTCCCAATTCATGGATCCTTATAGGCTGCTTGCTGTACTAATTAAAAACTAAAACACTTACTCTGTGTTATATGTTCAAATTAACCTAATTTTCAAAAATGTGTTTTATGGAACTAGCCGGTTGGATCCTTTGTAGTATTTGCGTTCTTAAATAAGAATATTTTTTTTAAAAATCACAGTGGCCAATCTTACCTTTTCCAATATACCTGCTCAGTCCAGGACATTGCAGGAAGAGAAACATTGCTGCTGACATGTAAAATCTGATGCATTATATAATAGTTAATATAACCTTCGGAGTTACGGTTTAATATAGTTTAACATCTCAGTGACTTGGAGCAAGCATGTTTTGTATGGTTTTTATTTATTTCTAATTTGTATGTGCTATTTAAATTTACTACATGCATTCCAAATGTAATGAAGTTAGCATTTTACCACCACATGTGAATCCGGTCTATTTTCCACCCTATATACATTTTTATCTAAGCAATAAAGCTTTAAAAGATTGTTAGGAAAAAAGGTAAATGTTGAATCTTTTTCATAATGGGAATCTCAGAAATGTAAGTTAGATCTTTCTGCCTTGGTGTAGGGCTCTTATCATATGGGTGATGTAGAGTAAGTGACATAATTTGTGTTGGCTGTAACAATTAATACAACCAGAATCACTGGAAAGGGATATTTAAAGCTTACCGATATATCAGGTTCCTGATTATGTGTGTATGAGTGTATATAGCCATAACATGTATGTTTTTGGCACCTTTGTAATTGTTTGTGACTCTTCTTTCACCTGGCTTGTGCCACAGTCTCATTATTATTATTATTATTTATTATTTATAAAGCACCAACAAGCTCTGCAGCTCTGTACAATGGGTGGACTAACAGACAAGTATTTGAACCAGATGAGTTGGACACACAGCAACAGAGGGGTTGAGGGAGTGAGGTAAAGTGACACAGTAACAGAGGGATTGAGTGCCCTTCTCAGTGAGTTTACATGTTAGAGGGAGTGAAGTATAGTGACACAGTAACAGAGGGATTGAGGGCCTGCTCAGTGAGCTTACATGCTCGAGGGAGTGGGGTATAGTGACACAGTAACAGAGAGATTAAGGTCC